TCGGTGTGGTCGATGCCCTCCTATACCCTCCATCCCCATGATCGTTCATGATGATATTCTCCTTGAAACCGAGCTCATCTGTCATGTGTTGTGTGTGTGTGTGTGTGTGTGTGTGAAGATATCTCGGGTTCTTGAACAACAGCTCACGGTCGGTGGTTTCCATTTCACTATTTCCCCATAGTATTTCCCTTCAGCGCCAAACAGGCCCGTAACGCCGACGAGTCCTTCTCCATACCTTCTGATGCGGGGAAAGTTCCCCTTCTCTCATCAGGGATTACCGTTGTTGAAGCCATCGACGGCTTGACGCAGGGGAAAGCTTTAGCTCCTTGGTAACTGCTGGTGGTGATCGAGTCACGGTGCAGCCGAGAAGGGCGGTGGCCCGGGATGTTCTAGTTCTGCCACTAAAACGCCTCCGTTTTCTCCTCCGTTTTTTCCATCGTTGTACACTACGTCTCCGCATCACAAGCGCGCGCAAACTGCAAAGCACTGCATTGCACTGCAGCTTCAAGGACGCGGCCTTGCAGCCTGTCATGTCATGTCGTGTCATGTTGAGGTCCAAGGTATCTCGACAACCTCTACCGAATGTTACCGGTCTTGGGTGACATTTCGGCACCTGCCTCCACAACAGCCGGGGCACTTGCGAGAATCTGGACGCATCCGCCCGGACAAAGATCAAAGCTGGGGTAAAGAGCAATACTGGCGATGGCGATGGCAGCCAAGCCAGCTGTTTGGCGCCATTCAACCAAGGTTTTTGGTTCCTTGAGCTTTCAAAGAAAAATTCTTTTTCTAACAACAACTCAATGGCAAGCCAGAGAAACATTCACAGACCTACAACATGCACCAACTCATCACACACACTGACATCCGCCACGCCCAGGTCCAGGGCAGTTCAACTTCAGACAAAGCTCAACGCCAAAGCCAAATCATCACCGGCTATTTTCATAGCGCCGGTGTAAGGAGACAAGTCTAGCAAGGTCTTTGCGAGCCTTGGCCGTGAATACGTGCATCGCGAAATCGCCCCGCTAGTCCCGGCCCAGGTTTTATTCTCCGTCCCTGCCCACCTCCAACTCTCGTTCCCTCCACTTAAGCCCCGGCCGGGTTGTGGATACCAATGGGCGGGAAGACGGGATTCACGGCGGGGCCCCGGATTTTCGCTCTTGTCTTGTTCGTTTCTCGCTTTAGCACTTCCAGCACACTTCCCCAACCTCGCTGACCCCACACAATGTTGAGAGACTCACATCTCCGCTGACCGGAGAGAGCTCCATCCTGTCTGCTTCCCTTCATCAGTTCTTTTCTTGGAGTCATTGGTCATGCAGTAAGTTCACTGGTCAATGGCTTGGTTCGTTGCTGCCTCCATTGCAGCCATCGCCAGCTGTCACCAACACATCACAAGCCACATCCACCTCTCGGCAAATGCTTGGTTGACGGGGAGTCTGTCAAGAAAGCTTATGTGAAGCTTGTCCACTCCGTCTCCCCTGACCCGTTCTCTTGCGGAATGTGGGAGCGGGAAACTGAAGAAAGCAATTATTTACGAAAGAGGTAAGTAGGTAAGAAAGACAGCGATGTCGCCCATCACCACAACAGAGGTGTAGCACGGTGTAGCAGGGTGTAGTACAAGACCCGAACTCGGCCCTTGTCTGGTTTGGTGGACGCCTGTCGCCGGCTCTTCGCCATCTTGTCCAGTTATCCAGATCTATGGTTGCGAATGTTCATCGATCCTCAGTGTGGCAAATTAGCCAGAATCCTTTCAGTTGTCTTCTGCCAGCTGGTCGGTTGGTTGTCCAGACCTCACAATATTTACAGCCAGGTATGTATCACGACACAAACCCCAGGGACCGTCCCTCCTTCCATATCCGCCTATCCGCTACTCCAACAATCCGCGGAACCAACGGTCAGGTCACAGCCAAGAAAGGCAGTAGACTGGATCATGATACCCTCAAGCAATTTTAATGGCTATGTTAAGACTTCACCTAAGCAAACACAAAGGGGGTTCGAGCGCTTTCCCTTTTGAGTCATGCCTGCATTCAATACAATACAGCTTGATGGTCGATGGTCTAGGCTGTGTTCTGTTACTAAGTACCAGATGTTCACGATCCTTGGCTACTACCAGTAGGCAATTCTTTATCAGACGTTGATATGCAGCACCATTTAAAGTTCATGGGTTGAACGAGTGGAGTGATCAACCCCTATCTATGCCTATGCCCATGACAAAGCTAACTAACTGGACTCCTCAACACGGAAACAATCATGTTACTATCATCAACTCTTACAAGTAGGTGGAAGTACGTGTAGTGTAACTACGACTCCTAGTGTAACGCTATCAACACGCGAAGGAATCAATAAACATCACTCCACAATCTCACTACTGTATGGGAATCCTTCAAATTTAGGTTCCAAGCCCGCGCATCTCAAAGGCCCCGTCCGTCATGATCAGACCGCGACTACCGAATCCGGATGTCATTACACATTACAGTCCCAACCTATTCCCGAGTCCCGAGTCCCGAGTCCCTTCCTCGCTTCCTCCCCACCGCCCGTCTCCGGCCCATTGGGAGTGTGGGCGCTCTCGGTACCGCACCCTCGGAGCTCGTTGTGTCCTGGGGAACCCGAGTCTCCGGGCTGGGAATCTGGGGATCCTCCTCGCCCCGCAACCGCATCCGCCCCGCGGTCCTCATCGGCATTTGGAAGAGCAGTCTGGACACATGTTTTCTAAACTTGGCTCCCGTCTCTGATCCTTTCACCGCACGGTCAACAACTGCAACAAACTGAACCGAATCCGTGCCGGCTATGTCCAGGGCGGTGGTTCGCTCATGTCGTCTCGCTTTTGCTACCGAGAACCGGCTCCAGAGACACGGGTCAGGACTGGACAGGACAAGCAGCACCAACGTCCAACGGCGCGAGGCACGGGATAAGGGGCGGGACACGGGCCACGGATGATGGTGATGATGGAGGTTTGTGTTACTTGAGTCCTGTTCACTGCATACTGGAAGGGAGAAGGGAGATGTTGTGTTACTGTGATTCGGCACGAGAATGAGGTAAACTCATGGGGGTCACAATGACAAAAGAATTCGACCAACAAAAGATACGTTGGAATCAAGTGCAGAAAGTGAAGTACTAATGAAGGTACCTAATCACAGTTTCATGCGAATATCGATATCGATGCTTTTGCGTATTGATCTGATGTTAGAACGACAGGAAAGGGCATTGACGAATTTTGGAGCTGAGTGCCCTGCATAGGGACCACTAACGCAGTGGTTGGAGACAAGAAGATATTTTCAGCTTGGTTGACCATTAAAGACGCAAGTTAAGGAATGCGAGATCTGAACTTCATGAATGAAAAGAGAGGTCATCATTCAACGTAGGTAGCCCAACCACGAAGGAACGGACCATAAGCATGAGGTTCTTGTATGTGGGAGTTCGAGTATTGGGCTGCACTCTCCTAGTCGTCGGCTAGTCAGAATGCCAGCTGTCGAGAAGGGGTTGTTCACCTAAACTGAAAAGTACGAACAACTCTGGCTCCCAGTGACACTCCTCCCCTTCCATCCTCGAACGTGACTGCATTACAATGCCTTGAGAATGTATGCCAGGCTACCGCCATCATTTCACTCCCACTTTGACCTTGGGTAACTGGCGTTCGTGTTACCAGCACGTCACTAGTCCATTTCCCTGTGTCGGCCCAAGTCTCCCGAATGCCCGGCGAGTTCTTGTGATGGATTAATTGATGATGTTGGACGCAATAACTTTGGATTTTGTACCGTGCCGGATAGGAAGCTCATGAGTTGTCACGAGTGCGACCCTAACAATGCCGTTAATGATGCAGTTGCAGATAGGCCTGCGATAGTTTAGTTAGATACCCTTCAGGGTGTGGAAATGAGAGGGCCGAATACCATAACTTTGCCAAAGTCCTCGGGCGTGTTCAAGTGATGCTCAATGTTCTCGAGCCTTGGTGTCACCTTTCATCCAGGAAAACGCCTAGAAGAAGGAAGTCTCAGAGTTTATTCATGCCCTCCTCCACACTGATAGTGCGCAAACTATTCAACTCGTCCGAACGTTCCTCAAGCATGGAAATAAACATCGGTGCGAAGGACATATCCAGAGCCTTGCGCATCATGCTAGAAAGCTCCGAAGTCTCCGGGCACTGCAAGATGAGTCTCTGGCATCTGGAATTGTAGTCGTCGAATCTGGCTTTGTAAGCAGCGCACTTCGCGCGCAGGTGTGCCAGCGAGGCTGGGCGAGGGGCGGAATCGTTCATGCCATCTTGATCGGACATCGTAGCGGTCGAGGCTTCGGCGAGTAGCTATGAGTGGTAATTTGAGCGCTTGTTTGGATATTGTGGATTGGGAAGAGGAGGAGGGTGAAGAAGAAGGAAAGGATTGAGAAAACGCACACTTTTGAGAGACACAAAATGGAAGTGAAAGTGGGCGTTCTTGATCGTACTTTCCCAATAATTCGAAGCCCACCAGGCATCTGCATATTTGAAAACGGAAGGCACATCGACGAGGGTCTGATGAAGGTGAAGTGGCAGATACGACTCGGCGAAGACAGCGGCAACCGTCGAGTACCTTCCACTTAGGAGCTGCTTGACTACCTAACAAGAAAGTGCCCGCTGCGTAGCAAGGACGAACCGCGGCTTCTAAATCACACTCTGACCTTCACTTCCATTCAATGGGACGTAACTCCATTGCAACTTCTCGACAACTGCCACCTGCCCATAGCCGTTATTCCACCCCCATCATTGATTCAGTGGTTGCCCACGCAATCAACACTTCGCTACATCGTTTCTCCATGTCTTAACCAGTTTTTCAAACGGCGAGTGCCCGAGTTGAACTAGTATGATGTTGTTGATGAGGCCTGAAGCGGTGTTCTTTGGTTTCAAACCTTGCGGGATGGGGTTAATCTGCTTGCGGTCGCTGTCGACAGAAGATCGCACGACCTTGTAACTCTATTAGCTACCTTTCAGGATTGCAACGAGATCATGTGACAAATAGAGGCGGCAGCCTACCTCAATACTGAAATCCTGGGGGCGTGTTCATATTCCAATCATCCTCCAACTTCTGGAGGTGAGGGAAGGCAGTATCTAGAGCCTCATCCGCTCCCTTGAAGGCGTCGTGCTCATCGACGGGGATAGAGTCGAGCGTGTGCCTGAACTGCTGTACCGTGTGACTAACGAATCGCCAGATGGAAAGATCCGGTCGAATTTCGCAAGGAATCCTCTCCCATTTGGCATGGTAGTTGTTGATGCGGGCTTCAATGACGGCAAGCTTTGTGTACAAATCTGTAAGTGTGACCTTGCAAGAGGCGGAATTGTTGTTGTTTTGGCCAGACATTGTAGCGGTTGAGTGCTCTGCGAGTATGAGTGGTGATTCGAAGTGGCGGGTTTGGACATTGTAAATTGGGAAGAGAAGATGGTCGAGAACGAGAAGAGTTGAGAGCACTTATACTCGTTCTAATCAACCAGTGAAGGGCTTATTGTGCCCGGCGCCCTCTGCGTGAAGTGAATAGGAAACAGCCTTTGTAGGTTCATGATGTGAGCAGCATCGGAGTGAAAGAACAGGCCGTCTGAACCTGGACACATCAAACAATACTTGCTGGCGTCGCGAGATCTAAACGAACCACTGGACGTGTCGTAGCTCAGCAAGTTGATACAATTTGTGGGATGATGGCTGTGATATTGTTCTAACTCGCACTAAAAAGACGAAGTTGAAGAAATGAGGAAACTCCGAATGGGAAGTCTCAATGCCTAGGTCGCGGGAGTTTTCTTTTGCCCGCGACCTCTGGGAAGGTTCCAGGTCCAAATCAGGAAACTTCAACTACCTGTGTGAAATCACACCCAGTCTCGGATGCTCCCGAGGGTCCCATCTCCAGGACCAGTATGAGTGTCAGTGTGAGTATCGGTCGTTGAGGCGAGCCAGATTCTTTTAAGAAAAAGAAGGAAAAGAATTGTTACCTCAGGTCAATCACTCTTCGAGTTTCTTTCCTTGTCAGTCACTCGTCACCTTCTACCATGCCAAGTCATTGAGCATCTTCCTCTCCAAAATCTCCCTCTCTACAAAAGCCTAGTGGTTCTATGGAGAATGTACGTGGGATTTGAGCGCTGTCTAGGCTAGGGATTCACTAATTCTCGCAAGACTTTAGTTCTTTCGTGGGTGTCAGAAGACCTTTCTCGTCCCTTCTTATCCCTGTGATGCCAGCAAAGCCCCAATCTGAATTTTGTTCTTGGCTAGCTTGGTCGTGTTAGCACAGGTACGCAGAATAAACATCTCCCATTGTTGTCTTTCACAGCAGACACTCCAGTAATAGGAGGAATCTGAATTCACTGTCAAGTATTTTGTATAGTTAGCAGGCACAGAATCCAAGCATAAGAAATATGACGGGACCATTTAAGTCAAGAATACCATTTTAGTTGTATGAGTGTCTTGATAAGTGTGCGATTGGTGGTGGCGATGAACCGAATCTGCCTGTAGGCAGTCCACCGCCGCCCGGTTTGGTTTGTGAATGCCGCGAGGAAATGCAAGACATGCTCAAAAGAACTTTGAACCTCATCCAACGGAGCCTGCGTAGAGTTTATACAACCGGCAATTCTTTTGAGTGTGAGACAAAGGTGCAATCTAGATGATTAGATGCGTGGAGATGGTGACGTGTTCGGCATATGTGCAATCGGTCGCGACATGCATTAGCTGTCCAACAGAGAGAATGTGTGGGGTACATAAGTAGTCAAATGTGTAGCCAAAAACAACAACAAGTTGTAGGTTGTGTAGTGTAGTGGTTATCACTCTGGATTTTGAAACTTCCTCCAAAACCTTCCAGTAACCCCGGTTCGAACCCGGGCACGACCTCATCTTTTGCACTTTTTTCTTGCTCACATTGCATGGAATTTCGGTGGTTGTGTTTGCTTTCATTTGGATTTCTTTTTTACTCGACGTTCTATTTTCTTCCCGACTTTTACTTGGGTTGTCTCTTTCTAGTGGAATACCACCTCGCATCGACAGCATGCAATGTTAACAGGCACACAAGCCACGCTTGGCGAGTGACATCCTGTTTGATTCCAACAATTTCACAACAATCTGTCAATCATCTTTCAACATCCCCGGTCATCCATCCACATTTCCGGAGATGCGACTGGTCCATCAACCTTTCTTCTCCTTTGCGTCAACTTGCACCCGACATTCTTAATCCCATACTTCGTCCTCCCATAGACGCCTTGCGCAGACGAACACCGAAACAGGGGCAGCGGCTCAACTACTAGGCCAGGGGGGCCGACCAGTTCGCTCCAGGGGTTAAAACGAATCGAAGCGGGGAGTGCCATTTTGCGTTTCACACGATCGCCCATCCACCACCATATTAGATGAAGCTTTGCGGACGCAAGAGCTTCACGAGCGCGATGTTGGGCTGGGTATGACGGCATGACAGCATCAAAAGAGGGCGCTGGTGGTTGCGATAGGTCCGACGATGGTTATCGGTAGGGCTATTGACAGTTTGACACCCACGCGATCGTTGACATGGTGATGAAACCCGTTGGTCGCTATCACTCGAACGGAGGTGTAGAACTGCTAAATCTAGCGGGTCTCCCGCGTTTCTTGACATCGCCAAACCCTCACGTCTCAGTCGCTCGTCCAGTCGCAACACGAGCCCCAAATGGGAATCTCGCCGTCAAGTGCCCGGGCGCGATGACCGTTTGCTTCACCAGACGCTTGCCTGCTACTTCGTGTTCCCGCACTACGCCCAGAACTCTTAACCGAGGCAACATAGGTGAGGGGTTTCATCACCAGTGCAGTTTTTTGCGCGCAACTTTGGTTCTTTGGGCGCTAGAGCTGAGGCTCAACTGCCCCTAGCCTTCCTCCCCTCCTCCATTCTCTTGGTTTCAACACGATCTGACGCTTCGCCTATGGAGATCTGAAGCCAAGACACCGCCACTCCGTACTCCCCTGACTGAGCACACATATGTCGCATCCATCCATTGATGCATCGTACACTCGGCTTGGCTTGTCATGATCTACTACTTGCGGCAACAAAAGCTTGTTTGGGTTGACGACCTCGCTTGGTGGCTTGGCCGAAGGTTTGATACCACTGGCGACGAGGACGGTATGGATACGTTTCACCGAAGCTGTCACCGGGATAGACGAGGGATGACAAGTGTCACGTCTCCGAATTGGGACCTGCTAGCAAGAGGCACTTCGAATCAAAATCAGAGATACTTTTGGCATATGCTCACGCCCTGTACGATTCATCCGCTATGGGAAGATGTCTGGTTTATGAGCCACAAGTGGACTCAATGGATGGGTTAGAAAGCTGGATTCGGTATTACAGGCTTAAACTCCATCGCCCAGCTTATGATATACTCCGCAATATCATCATCGTAAGGGTCGGGATAACACGGATTACAGGCTAGGTCTAAGTCAACGACCTGGACTATATTTGCCAAAAGACTTCGAGGATGGAGTTGATGTCGAGTGGCATTGCAAATAGCAGCGGGCAAAACCGTCGCCCAAGTAAGCGGCTGGACCTGAGCTGAGCTCGTCGATGCCTCGATGATAATTATCCTAAATACCCTAGGAAGCTCGACTAAGTACCTATTATTGATCTCCATTTACATGCACGTCGAGCTATAGCTGAAACTGTCAGCTTGGATCTATCATCCGTCAGTTGAGAGAATTGCTCATTAGCAACAAGTGGACGATTGACCCGAAATAGCCTCTCCCGTCACCTCCAATTCCCAACAACTCCCCGGAAAGAGATACGAGCAGAAATAATAATTGCCGATGTTAGAAATTACTATATCGCAGCCGCCTTGTTTCGTGCAAAACACCAAGCGCCGAGCTGCAGCGAGACCCTGCGCCAGATCAGACATCGAAACTCGAAACTCAACTCGGCCCCTTTTTGACTGGGGTAAGAAATACCAACACCGAGGGATGGAGGGCCGGTACCGCATTGTAAACATCACGATGGCACCCTCGCCGACCACATTGACGCCGCCAAAGAAAAAGGTATAAATGCCGGTCTTGGCTTCCTCTTATCTCGACCTGACTTTTGGCTCATCATCATCATCGCCATCGACATCGACAACTCAGCAGGCAGGTCCCGCCTCTTCAGTCACACTTCGGCTTTCTCTTCATTCTTCCTTTTTCATCAACATCCTTTGATATTACTTTCCTGCCGGTTCAGGTTTTATTGACGACCTTTTCGTGCTGTGGACTTACCATCCTTTTGACATTTCGACTCATAACGACAAGAAGACAAACTTCAAACTCAAGACAAAATGGCATCTCTCAAGTCCATCTGCATGAGCCTCTTCGCTCTCACTCCCCTTGTAGCCGGTCATGCCGCTATCATCGCCGCAGTAGGCGACGCCGGTGGTGTGGGCATGGCTCTGGGAATCGACACTGCCACTCCCCGTGACGGAACAAGGCGTACACCCTTCCAGCAGGACACTACTCGATTCCGTGGCCAGGCAGCCAAGACGGTCGGCCAAACAATAAAATCAGGTACCAACAAGGTCGAGGAGGGTACGAAGGCCGTCCTTGACACTACCAAGGACTCACTGCCGCAGGTGACTGCCGGTGGTGCGCTCAACATGACGCTGCACCAGATCAACCAGGACGGAGCTGGACCGTTTACTTGCATGATCAACGCGGATGCGAAAGCGACGGAGTGGACTGAAATCAAGGTTGCGACGAACGTCCCGGGCCGGAACGGTCTCTCGAGGGTGAGTCTCTACCCACCACCACCTGGCTGATATGAGCATCGACTAACATACCTTGCAACAGGCCACCAAGACTAACTTCCCTCTGGTCGCTTCCATCCCTGCCGACCAAGCATGCACCGGAACCGCAGCTGGTCAGGACAACCTGTGCTTGGTACGGTGCCAGAACGCTCGCTCCTTCGGTGGTGTCGTGCCGTCCAGCTGGCCGGCGGTGCTGGTGCTGGAACTGGGGGCAGCAACACCAACACCACTACTGCTGCCAAGGGCATCAAGCGTCCCCTTGCCAGGAGATTCTTCGCGAAGCGTTCCGACCTAGAGAAGGATTCAGTGGAGGACATGGAGCAGTGGCAGCACTAGAGGGCACAGCCACTTCGCAGGTCATGTTCTTGACGGTGCCGTGGGGATCCGTGAGAAACCGATGTTGCTGGTAAAGTGATGTGAGGGATTAAAACAATGAGTGGACTGCAGGATACCACGAGGAAGTAAAGATAAGGGAGATGGGGAAACCCGAGCGTGATTGACACTGACAATTCAATGGTTGATGTCCAAAATTTCTAGCTAGCCCAATCTGTCGTGCTTGTCAGGGGTGAACTGCCAATGTATCTTCCATTTTGAGGCTGTCACAAGGAGGAACGGCTCGTGTGCTGCTCGGGACATTGACAAGCAGACGCAGTGATACATACCTAGGTGACAAACTAGCGAACGCTGTCGGGCATCTGGGGCTCTTTCTCTATCCCAACCGCGCTCGAGCCGTTGTGGGCCTCTAGACGTCAGAAGACCCAAATCCTGGAGGCCGCCCGCTATCTAAGCACAAAGAACTTACCTCCGCATATATGCATAGGCGAGCTTGAGGGGTACACACGATTCGGACATATGTTTGCTGGGTGTTGTTTATACTCCTCTTTCTTCCTTCCCCGCATGACGTCAAACAGGTAGTGTTGGGGCTCGCGAATAATGGACGAGTGGCGATCGGACTGCCGCTTTTGGGCTCCTTTGAGCTTATTCTAACCACCCTTTATCACGAAGGCAACGATCGAGATTGGACTGGCGCGACTGGGCGATATTGAATATTGGGGCTGTGTTACTGGCCACGCAGAGATGGCATCTCGTGGATGATTGGCGGTCCCAAACTGCGAGTCAGTTGTTACTCGAACGGGCGACTGCAAGATGGACGTAGATGGATGCGTCCAGATTGAAAGTGCCGGTCAAGGATGGTCGTGGTTGTCAAGGGTTCGTTAGTCGAGGGAGCGAAAGAGGGGAGGAAATCACTGGTCAGAGGATTGGGAATAATAGACGCTCCGTCACTTACACGGCACCCGGCCAATCACGTCGCTTGGATCGGAGACTGGGATACCTTACTGATATCAACAAACACGAACGGAGTGGCAGAAGGAGGAAAGAGCAACAATGGCACTGGGAGAGCTATCTTTCCACCCTTGAGTTCCAGTCAGAGCGGAGCACGGCCCCAGACCATCCATTGTACCTTCCCTTCCACTCATATCACATCGAAAAGGTCAGGTGCTACCCGAGTCGAGTCGTGAGAGGGGAAGGAAGGACTACGTACCGGTCCCTCCGATTATCATTTCTTTTTAATATCAATCCTTCCATCATCACCATCGCCTTTCTCTCCATCAAACATCCTGATCACTTCTTCGCTCCGAGAGACCTAGTAGTCATCCTATCAGCACCACACCTCGTTCTACTTATAACCTAAAGACCACTCCGACTCGCTTATCAACTGCTTCTTACTCTTTCGTCTTTATCTCTTCTGCCATCAGTCATCTCGGGAATCACAATCTCTACGTCCCCATCTCACGGACCGATAATCTATCTACCACATCAATTAACAACACTTATCGCACTTTGAGCCCATCAGAGATCCTCACCAGGACATTCCGACGTCATGTCTGGTATGCATTCCCCAGAGACCTGGATGTCTAGAAAGACCATACTAACCTAACTTGCCTTCGATACAGAACACCAGCAACAGCACAAAGCCCCCATCACCATTGACACCACCAGGACAACCACCACCTCCTGGGACCCCAACGCCATGACGCACGGAATTACCACCACCCACAGCGAACAACAACAACAACCGGTCCGACATCGCAACTCGGAAACCGTAACTCCCACATTCACCAACTTTAGTCCCGTCTCGGCTGATTCGCCTCCCACCTCTCCGGCAGACCGTCGGATGAGTGCCGAATGGGGTATGTCTTCTTTCTCTTTTCCCCCTTCCCACGTTTTATGCCTCCGAGGAGGCGGAAGTTGACGTTGGATACCAACAACACCCTCTTCCTATCCTTTCCATCCATCCTATTATCACCAAGTCACTAACCAACCCTTCTCATCTTCACAGACGCCTCAAAAGTACCACCAAGCCGCTTCCAAAAGCGCAAGGGATCCATTTACGCCGTGCCCAAGACACGAGACGGCCATGTTGACACGAACTACGCCCATGCCTTCCATCAGAAACACATGGAAAAGGGATATCACAATGTGAAGTAAGCGAGCGAGTGGATTGGGATGGGCAAACGAGAGACCAAGCCCCAAAATAAATGGAAGAAAGGGACGAACGGGACGTGCGGGATTAGCACTGTCTCCCTTGCGCATGGAAAGGAAAACCCGCAAATTTCGCGGGAAGGGGATATGATGTGGTGATATTCAGTTGCCCATAGTTTGCGTTGGGTTGATTGATGGAGGATGGGATGCGAAATATGGCATGATGACGGTGTATTTCTTTCTGATGGGTTGTAGTATTATTGTTTCCGATTGACTTTGATCGTTCTCTTCTGTTTTGGAATAGGCCATTTCCCTCAGTGAGATATGAACCAAGATCTTTACATTCCATGCAAAGGTAGCAGATGTGTGCCTGATGGTATCGTATCGATACAGCTGTTAGTTCAAGCCAAATAAAGTTGATTTTCCAGGCTGGCTGTGTGGTGGAGGAGAAGCTGTGATGTTGCTCAACTGTGCAACCCTTAGCCTTGCTGGTCAATTAAGAGACTTTGTTTTGATGTCCACACAAATCCCACCCTTCTTGCCCTTTCCCTTTGTCTGCCTGCGTACATCTAAAGTGCTTAGGTGAAATCCATGAGCCACCAACCCCTATAGTTAATGTAACGAAAGAAACATAAGGAATATATCCATCCCCATCTGGCCCTTTCATGCAAATCTGATCAAGTGGATGGGAGTGTTTCGAATTGTGTTTATGTAGTGAGGTGGTAAATGTTTAAGTAGCCGGCCCCCTTCCCAGTGTTCCAGTCTATGTACAATACAGCCGCAACCCTCGCCGTGAAAAACCAGAAAACCGAACCCAAGGAAAAAAAAAACAAATGAGAAGCTCCGAAGTAACAAAAAAAAAAGAAATATCGATCATTCATCCATTTCATCAAGATCGATAGCATCCGGGTTATGAACCTGAACAAGCTGAACCGGCATGCTACCGCCCTTGGGTCCTTCCGAAGCCGCTACGAAGCCCACGGGGGCGCGCGCCTGTCTCTCCAGCGCCGCCATTGCGTCCGCAACCTCGGTGTCCATTTCTCCACCGTTTCCTGCTGCCTCCTCGTCCATCCGCTTCTGCTGACTCCTAGCCAGCGCTTGGGAGGCAATAAAGTTGACGTCCGTGTTGTACTGCGCCTGCACGCTTCTCTTGATACGGAGCATCTCCTTGTAGGTATCCTCGTTGCCGTGCGCAACCTCGAACTGGTCCCACTTTTCCCAGAAGCCGGGGTTGGTGCGCGGGTCGCAGAACTGCGAGGCGTGGCCGTAGATGGCGCGGGCGCGGTCGATCTCGCCCAGCCGCTTCTCCATGTCGGCGAACTTGAGGCACATGTCGCGGGCCTCGGCGTCGGGCAGGGCGGCGATGGCGCGCTCGTAGATGGGCCGCGTCGAGGGCAGGCCGAAGTTGGAGGCCGACTTGGTGATGTAGAAGTTGAACATGTCGGCGCGGTCCTCGTCGGCGACGGCGCGCGTGGCCCGCTCGTAGATGCGCATGGCGTGGCGGGCGAGGCCGCGCTCCTCTTCGAGGTTGCCGTACATGAGGTAGATCACCTTGGCGAACTTGGGCGGGCAGTCCTCGACGGCTTGCTCGAAGAGATCGCGGAGGCGCTCGATGCTGATCTTGCGGTCGACGGCCTTGGTAAGGTACAGGTTCCAGAGCTCGAAGGCGACGGGGTAGCTGAAGAGATCGAGGCCACGCTCGTAGATCTTGAATGACTCTTCGAAGTACTTGTGCTCCTCCAGGAGGTTGGCGTAGTTGACTACTGTCTGGGGAGTGGCGATGCGAAGCTCGAATATCCGCTCGTACACCTTGCGGGTCTCGTCTAGCGAGCTGACGCTTTCCACAAGGTCGACGTAGAAACTCCACAGCTTCCAGCTCTTGTGAACTCTTTGTTGTGGTGATAGCGTTTCGTCGAAGTAGTCCACCGTAGACCTCTTGGGCGCCTGCACTGCCTTTGCCATGACCCTCATGGCCTCGTCGAAGCACTCATTCCGAAGCTCCATCTCTGCCCACTCGATCCACATGTCTGCTAGCTCTGCCACGGACTTGTAGTTGACCTTGACGGCCTTCTCCATGATTCTTCGGGCATTTGAAAGGTCCCCTCCGGCCTCGTAAAATTTGGCGTAATTAGCCCACAGCTGGTGAAGCGCGCCCACTGCCTTCTTCGGTTGAATGGCTTCAATAGCATCAAGGTAAGTTTTGACAACCTCCTCCTTGTTGTCGCCCCACAGGGCCACACGCTTCTCCCATTCTGTGACGTTGTTGGGGTTCTGCCTCAGGAGAACATCGTTCAAGAGGAAAGGTCGGCGGTCCATCAAATGTTCGAACCGCATCATTCGGATATCCAAATCGAAATCAGCCACCTCGTCCACCTCTCCCTTCTCAGCCCGGGTCGATGCCATCTCCATCAGAGCGCTAATGATGGACTCCTCAAACTCCGTGTAGGAATCGAAAACGAGGGTGAAGTCCCGAACGGTCATGACGGTCGTAATGCCCTCCTCAAAAACGTCTCGCGCGCGCTCGAAGCTGCCTCGTCGGATCCAGTAGGTCGCCAAGCCGCACCACAGCTTACCCCTCTGGTCGGCAAATCGTTCGATGCCACTGCGGATGATCCGTTCGACGTCGATTCCCGTCTCATGTCCCGTCTGCACTTCCGTCGCATGCTCGACCAGCAAATCCACCATCTCGCTCCACAATTCATAGTGTCCCTTGCTGTTCTTGCTCGTGAATCTCGGGTTGTTGAGGATCTCGATGTACTTGTGAACGGCTTCCGTGTATAGTCCCACCGTGACCAACAATTCGATAAAGTCCTCCGCATCCTCCGGGTGAACCTGCATGTACCTGCGCCAGATCTTGACAGCCGTCTCGCCTTCGGCCGAGTTCGCGAAGGGTCGGTACAGAGCCCATATCCTGTTGTGTTGCGTAATGGGGAGAGCGCGGAGGGCCCGATCGAAGGTGCGTCGTGTGTGTGTCACGAGCGGCTGCTGCATCAGAAACTTGAGATACATCTCCCATATCCTAGGCATCTTGTTGAGGAGGATCAGTGCCCTCTCGAAGAGGCTGTTGACCTTTTGGTACTCGGAGGCAAAGATGGCGGCATTGAGCTTCGAAACGTGTTTCGTCCTAAACCGGAGATACTGGCGACCAAGTCAGTATGGTGTGTTGCGCCATGGGGAGAGAGTTCCGGTACTCACCATCTTCCAAAGCTTATAGGATCGAGGAAGCTGCATACAGGCGCGCTCCATGATATAGGCCTGCTCCTGGACCGTCCCATGCTGAAGCTTGTACTCGATATAGGCAAGCCATGGCTTCGCGGTACCGGGGTTACGGACGATGTCTTGTTCGTAGGGAAAGTCCTCCTCGCTCTACCAGTACACAGTCGGATCGTCAATTTATATTCTTGCAGCGGAGGCATTGGACAAGGAGGAGGGAAAGACATACGACCAAGGAGAGGTCTGGGCGACGGTCGGAGGCGCGTGAAAGGATAGACATGGCGAAAGGATAGTCGGGTCCGCGTTGGACTGCAGAAGAAGACCGGGAATGGCGTCGCTGGAAGGAAGGAATAAAATCGATGTTCAAGGATCAAAGGTCCCTAGAGGCATTCCTGCCGTTTTCCCCCGATTTTGGGCCAGCCTCTCGACAAGATTCGGAGAAAGGGGCGGACGGCGACGGGATATTCTCGTTTTCGCTGGCTTGTTGTCGCTGATGTTTTGTCCGTGATTCTTTTTTTCCTGGGAGCCCGGCACGTCTCGAAGTTCAACCTTGTACAAGCAAGTTCGCGAAAGCTCAGACCAGCCTCCCATTTACGGAGTTAGAGCGATCATTTGACAGACGTTCCCGCTAAACAAGAGCCAATTTCAGTGGGGTTAATTGCTGATAACCTCCCAGATCTTGGCACCAGGATCCGCAAGCAGGTGCCAGCCGCATCCCCGGGAGGCCTGGATCCAGTTGTTACGTAGGGCGGACTTGCAGTGGGCGGCCAATCCACGACGCCATCGCCTGGGCTGTAACAACGACCCCCGTCTCGACCTCATCCAAGCTCCAAACATCGAGCTCCACCAACCACGGCCCGTCCCTCCTCCAAGAAGTCGATATCGAACCTGTATCTATCGTTGTCGCGATAGCATCACGGCTCCTAGAATCATCATATACTGTCGCCCCAGGACCTGTCGCCTACTTAGTCTCCTACCCCACCTCGAGTATACCTTGGCCATTGCCGGATCGCAAACATGTCTGGAGCTGCGGTATGACACCCACCCATCCTAGCTGCTGGTCCCCCGCAATCGACAACAACCGGGTACAGTCCATGGCGTTGACTAACAATGGGTGGTGGTATTAGGATCGCGAGGCCGTCTTCCCTACACGGCAGTCGTTGGGTATCATGAAAGCGAAGCTCAAGGGCGCCGAGACGGGTCACAACTTGCTCAAGAGAAAGAGTGAAGCTCTCACCAAGTCCGTTGTTTCCTCTCCCCGGCCCATGTCCATCCATACACTTATACGCAGAGCTTGATACTAACACACATTTCACTTAACAGACGTTTCAGAGGTACATAACCACCCGCGACGAATTCAACTTTGTTCCCCGAACTTGTACACCCTAACACGCCTCTCACAGAAATCACCCGCCGAATCGACGAAGCCAAACGCAAGATGGGCCGCGTCATGCAGATCGCCTCGCTCTCCCTCGCCGAGGTCACGTACGCCGTCGGCGGCAACATCGGTTACCAGATCCAAGAGTCGGCCAAGTCGGCGCGATTCCGCATCCGCGCCAAGCAGGAGAACGTCTCGGGTGTGCTGCTTCCAGCCTTCGAGGCCTACCAGACTGAGGGCAACAACGACTTCGCCATGACAGGTCTGGGCAAGGGTGGTCAGCAGGTACAACGGTGTCGCGAGACGTACGCCAGGGCAGTGGAGGCCTTGGTTGAGCTGGCTAGTCTGCAGACGGCGTTCGTTATTCTTGATGAGGTCATCAAGGTTGTCAATCGGAGAGTTAATGCGATGTAAGTGGAAGGCGAACCTGGGCCGTCTTCCCTGAAAGGTGGAATGGGAATGCTGACACAAGATCTATAGTGAGCACGTCATTATTCCTCGGACTGAGAATACCATCAAGTGTAAGTGGATGTCATATTGCCCAAGGCTCTGGCACACACAGAGAGAAACTCACTGACAGCTATGATAGATATCAACTCGGAACTCGACGAGCTTGACAGAGAGGAATTCTACAGACTCAAGAAAGTCGCTGCCAAGAAGCAACGCGACAATGCGGAAACCGACGCTCAGATGAAAGCAAAGAAGGCAGAGCAGCAGCGGTTGTTAACCCTTGCGGAGGGCGAGAATGTTGAAGGTGAACAGGCGACCGAAGCACTCGTAGCACCAGAAGCGACCGACCTGCCAGATGATACCCCTGCCGATATCTTGGCTGCCGAGGAGGACGAAGACATCATCTTCTAGTTTGATGTCAACCTGTTGACGTATTGGGAATGGCTGATGGCTGGACGGACTATCGATGACGATCAAGAATGTTTTTGTTTGCATGAAATTGTTGAGGCAAAGGGGCATGGGCGCAATCATGGAGTTCTTGTTTTTATTCTTGTTGTAGCATTGGGTATCTAAAGAAGGCGATTCGCGAAACCGCCAGAGTGGTGTCCATATAAACGGAACCCTTTTATCCCACTCACCTATACTGTGCATAAGACCTGTATCACACGATGTTTCCTTCCTTCTCTTGAAAATAGCCCTTTTATACCTAACCTCACCAGGTATGCTCTACTGTCTCTGGTAGGTAACCTTCATGACCTTCTCGCCGTTCTTCAGAGCCATGCCGGCCGTGTTCTCCTTGGCGGCGATAGCACCGGCCTCGGCGTCGTACTCGACGAAAGCAATACCGCTGCGACCAGGCACAGTACGGACTTCGCGGAAGCCCTCGAAGCGGGAGAAGATGGCAGTGAGGTCGTCCTTGCCAAAGTCGTCGGGCAGGTTCTGAACGAAAGGATGCGGTTGGGAGGCAAGTACTCGTCGGGCACAACAGCAGCTGGTCCCTGGCCGGTAGCCTTGAGGCCGGCGCCGCGTTGGTTCTTGGCAGGGCGCGCATCGGGGGCGGCACCCTGAAGAGGGCGCTTGAGGCGGTTTTGCTGTTCGGCGACTTCGAGGGCTCTCTTCTTGTCTGTAACGGTTGAATGTCAGATCAATACCCCTTGTTAACGAGTCCAGACTGGGGTATGAAAGAAAACATACCCTTCTCAGCAATGCGTCTGCGCTTGTGCTGGTCAAACTCTTCCTCGTTGCCAGTCTGAATAACCGTAGCGTCGCTCCTCGTCTTCGCCAGGGCCACCAGCATGGGCTTCTCAAACAGCTCGAAGCCCTGAAGTTCCTCGATGGCGGCCTGGGCCGACTCGGGCTTGTCAAAGACCACAAAGGCCTGGCCCTTGGCCTTGAGATTGGTCTTGGCGACGATATCAATCACATTGCCGTACTCGGAGAAGATGGTGCGCAGGGCCTCCTTGAGCGGCTCTGGCTTGACGCGCTCCTCGAGATTGCGTACATAGACTCTACACGAAACGTGAACATGGGTTTCTTTTGGTTAGCACTTTGATCGTCTCCTGGGATTACTTCTTAACTAGGTGTAGACTGGAGAGAGAAAAACACCCGACACCAGCCATTGTGCTTTGTATGTGTCGGAGTGCAATGACACATACGTAGCGATGGGGACCTGTCCTGCTGAAGCCATTGTTGGTTTTGGTTATCGACGGTTTAATAATAGCCGTTTTTAGGTTGAAGGGTACGAAGGATCTATCCGCGTGTCAGATTGTGAGGATCGCAATGTGCTGTTGCGCAAGGGTATGGGAGTAGGTAGGTGTTGTCGTCGGTTATCACCGAGCAATCTTGAAGTGCAATGTCCAAGTGTAAGTTGTTGGTGGAGACGACTTTTCTGGTGGAGAGCTAGAAACGAATCCAGCAAAGGGACTCAAAGCGTTCAGGAGGCGCCACCTGGGCTCAGCTGCGCGATGTGACGCTAACAGTTCCCGTCTGGGGCGTTGGAGCCCCACCAGTTACCTCATCCCGCTTCACTGCAACTCGTGGTGAGGCCCGCCTGTTGCTCGCTGTTGATTGCTCCGATCCAGTTGTGGAGAAGTGTCGGTCAGTTCGTTCCTCCGCTCTGCCCACTGTCGCAAGTGTCTCATCGTCCCGCGGCAACAGCGGTCCTCTCCAAACATCTTGTTTGGTTCCCGGGCAACCTCCTTATCAAACAGGAACTTGGAACCCAACGGCTCACCACTACCTTACCTCCACGAGCAACACCCGTCTCGGTTTGCCGCCCCCTTTCTGTCTTGCGAAGATGCTGGACATGTTCCTGAGCGAAACCACCAGATGAGAGACAAGGACTCAGTCAACAAGGAAGAGACAGAACTGAAGATCGGCGGTTAGCCAGTTGCCCGACGTAGCCGGCGATCGCGACCCAGCTCTTAGAAGCCCCGAACCTTACCGTGATACCTTCACTTTCCATACACCACAGGGTCCGATATGGATGATAGTGTTTTCTTGCCGGATGCTGCAACGGCGGCTGCAGCCTTGGCCCCGACAGCAGGAGCCATCCCGGTGCTTAACAATGCCAGCGCATGGCACAACTTCACGCTCTGGATCGCCCAGCACCTGGGCTATGCGTTTAACGTGACGAAACTCGCGCCTTCGCTTGAGGATCTAGTCTGGGCAGGACCCAGGATGGTGAAGAAGCTGGGAAAGCTGGGCGGCTCTTATATCTTTTATCCCGATGCCATTGACAGCTTTGGCCAGCGCGTCATACCCGAGTCGACCGATCCCGCCGCATTCTTTGTCACGACAGCTCCCGACACTACAACTGCCGCCGACGCCGCTCGATCCATACTCGAATCCGCATCATCTTCCGCTGCCGCCGCCACCGCTACGGACCAAGACTCAGCCGCCTTCGCATCACGATTTACAATGGAGGGTGCCAGGGGTTTAGGGAGCGTTTTCAGCTACGCGACAAGCAAGTGGGCTCTAGCATGCATTGTCATGGCTGTTGTCTTCAACCGAACACATATATTTGCCGCTACTCGCCGGCGACTTACACTACGATGGACGGTCCGTCTTGCGCTCCGCCTGCCGGTTATCTTACTCCTCGCTTGGCAGGTCGAACGGGTCCTCGAATCGATACAGTGCCAAACATCCCCCCAATTCGCCGATTTGCGCTGGGGCAACTCCAGCAAGAGCTCCGACCTCATGTTTTCCGAAAAGAATAACTTTCTCCACGGCTTGAGCTCGACCCTGCTCTTCGGCGCAACCGATAAACAATCTTGCCAGGCTATAAGGATGGTGCCATGGGACAACAACTCGAACGAGCAGCCGGAGCTAGTGGGATCCTTGTCCCGGCTCTGGCCTCTGTTCATGACTTTCTGCGTGAGCCAGTTCATCGAGGTTCTCTCTGCAACGGTTCAGGGCCGTCCCGTAGCCGCCGAGACGGGGATGACGCTCTTTGAGCACTCATTGGCCTTTGCCGAAGCTGATGCTGCCATCAGCAACCAGCTGGGTTGGAGCCTGTTTACAAGTAAGGGGAATACCTCCCAGGCGTTGGCAGGATCGGCTGTTGCTGTTACGCGCAGCATGATTCTAAGGAGAGTCAACACGTCTCCAGAAGTTTTGCTGGTAGCGTTTCTCTCTGCCATGAGCCATCTCACTAGCCAAATACTTGGCGTCTTCAACCTACAGTCCAAATTCCGTTTGATCAACACTGGCTTCTGGGGGCTTTGCTTTATGGGTAGCATTGTCTGGGGCGCCGTTACTTTTTCCATTGAGGATAGCTCAGCTCAAGCACTCTTGAGGTTCCCTACGGTCTGCATTATTGGATTTGTGCCGCACGTACTTATCATTTGCGGTATCTTTATCTGCGGCGTAATCTATTTGCTAACTATGGCTCTCTCGGCGTTTGCTGCACCTGAAAGCCCTCTTGAGACAGGACAGCAACGCCCAACTCTCCGAGACCGCCTTGGCCGAGCCCACGCGAACATGCAAGCCAACGGATCTCTTTCCGATATCCGTATCCGGTGGGATATGGACTTCTATACTGCCCTCCTTCGAGCTGGCTTTGGAGCCATCACCATGGCGAGTGAAGCTGTTTACCTGAACGAAGACCATCGGGTGAACGTAAAGCGATATACCTGGTTGGAAGACGAGCGGTTCCGTGAGATTGAAGAGCTTAGGATGCAATGGCTTGGAGGCGGAGTATCAGGCTCCCGTTTCGATTCCGTCGGTGTCATCGGCCTCGTACCTGTCAAGGAAGACCAAGCGAACGCTACAAGCGGTTACGCGAGGGAAAGGGCAGCTCAGAAGATCCCTCGGAATAGTGTTTCCGCCAGGCGGTTGAGAGACGGGGTGGGTGCCACAGAGCGCAGCGGCAGGTGGCTGTTGGCGATCGAGTATGTTATGCATATCAGCCGTCTAATCATCACCACCTGGATGCTCCTCGTCATCAAGTTACTCTCTTATTTTGGAATTCGGAACCCTCCTCGCTGGCTACGGGCGTTGGCTCTTCAGCCACCAAAGCCAGAGACTGCCGCCAGCAGCAGCAGGAGGCCAAAGCGGAGAGGTGACCGCGGCGCAACAGCTATTTGGGTAGACGCCTCCGATCCCAACTCGTTCCCCGTCCCGCGGAGTGAGCGTGTAGACGTGGAAGCCGAGTTCCGCCGGCGCCTCCAACAACAACCCCTCGGTAGTGACCAACCTGACGCCAGCGAGGCCGACATTGACTCTAAGCTATACAGCTGGTTTCTCAACGGCGGCTGGTGGGGGAACACTGATACAAGCGGTGACTACGTTCCCCCCAACGGCGGTACCGACCTAGATGACCCGGATTTCGACACCACAAGCATTATCTCCACCACCGAGAGCATATCACTATCAGACCTAGACGGCTGGGAATCCGACAGCGATAACCATCCCCAAGACGGCCAGCGCACACCCACCCAATCCTCCCCATATCCAAACAACGACAACTCCAACAGCCAAAACCCCCTCCAACAATCCTGGGCCTTCTCCCGGGAGTCCACCCCCTCCGCCCACTCGCAAGTAGCAGACCTCCCCCTAGCAGCCTCCGACCTCGCCCGCCTCCTCAACCCCCAAAGCCCGGAAGAGCGCGAAGAAGCCATCACCCTCGCCGCCCACCTCTCCTTCGAAGAAGGAATCATGACCCGCTCCCGCTTCCGCCAACACCAAGCGCGCCAGCGCGTCAAGGTTCTGTTATCCGGCGCCCAACACCGTCGTCTCTATGGCTACGGCAAGGGAGCGAGTGCACAGCAGCAGATGATGACGCCCGAGGAAGAAGCCAGGCGGTTAGAGCAGATATTGTTGTCCAGGCGGGCTGCTACGGCTCCCTTCAACACCACAGAGGCAAGTGAAGAACAACAACAACAACAACAGGGCAAGGGCAAGGGCAAGGGCAAAGTGGAAATAGTAGTAATAATGACTGGGCATCGGGCGCGGATGGCCTGGGCAGTGAAGGCCCCCAGTGCGTGGTCTGTCAGTGCGCGCCGAGGACGATCATCGTGTGGCCGTGTCGGTGTCTGAGTCTGTGCGATGAGTGCAGGGTTAGTTTGGCGATGAATAATTTCGATAAGTGCGTGTGTTGTCGGAGGGAGGTTATTAGTTTTAGTAGGATTTATGTGCCTTGATTTTTTCTTCTTCTTTTTTTTTGGTGGTTGGTTATAGATATGGGTTTTATCATGATTGGGAAGAGGAAGAGAGATTTCGTATTCTGAAATGGCTTTACATCTACGCACACACGTATTTGGTAATGAAGGAAGAAGTAAGGGATATATTTTGGGGGAAGGGCATTGAGTGATTGGAGTCGAGTCTTGAACAGCATGATGAATGATGGTCATTGGAAGTTAGTCACGTTTATGAAGCATGTGCAGAAGCAATTGGGAAGCGATTGCAAGGGCGTTCTTGATGGTTCTTTGATTTGATATTGGTAGTCTTGAGACGATATGTTCTCATCGGTATTTTGAGAGATCTCGAATGGACAGAACGTAAAGACATACACTACACAAGATACTCCTCGTTCGACGGGCCTTTAGATCATATGCGACTTCACGCGATGCAGAAGGTGTGACATGATTAACGTTGTAATGGGTATCATTTCTCGTTATTTCAACTCAGTGCTCAGCCTTCAACTACATGCCCGCCCACTCAATGCAGAACGCCCTCAGCTCGCCAGCTTCACTATCATCAGTCGCCGGTTTCTGTCCTCCCATGAGGAAACTCTTCTTGACAGCCGTTCCCAAACGACCACTGGTGACGAGATCCAACATGGGGATCTTCTCATCCCAACCATAGCTGTTCGCCATATAATGAGCATGATAGCGGAACGGGTCGCCGGGGTAAACGCTAAAGTCGCCACCGAAGCGCAGACCTGGAGTGATGAAGTATCCCCTCTCGTTCAAGTACGAATACAACGGCAGCACATTGTGGTTCTCTACATCAGGATTACTTGTCCCGTTGTGAATCATGGCATTGCTGGTGGTGGGGGTGAGTGCAGGCAGTTTCTCCTTGACCGGTGGCTTTTGGAGCGCAACCGGCGCCGTCTTGACTGGCTTGGATGATGATGACTCGAAGAGGGACTCCTCTCCTCCTTCTTCCTGCTCTACGGCGGTATTGTCGGCGACAGGTGCAGGCGGCAGTTCAGTGGGCACGACAACAGGTGGTTGTTTGGGCTTGCGCTTGTCCTTGTGCCTGGCCTGAGACTGCGCCTTGGCCTCATCGAACACAAGCTGGGCAGTTCTCCGCTGCGTCTTGATGGACTGCAGGTACGACTTGCGCGTCTCGGCACCCATCGACTTCAACTTGTTAAAGTGTTCCAAAGGGTCATCGGCAATGTAGGCAACCTTCCTGTCCAAAAGCATCTTGGCATCCTCGGCATACAGCTCCAGCGGCAATCCTAGGAAGACATTCTGAGTGGGATTCTGCGGCATGGTGCCCGTGAACACGGCGCAGATGCCATGCTGGCGGCGGATATACGCAACGTCGTCAATATCAAAGACGAGATACCGGCCAGCGATCTTGGAGATCCGCACTTGTCTGTCGTCCTCGGTTGATGCCATTGTGAGTTGTATGTGAAAAATGATGGAGTGCCTATTTTTCTCTTGGTTAGAAGCAGTTCGTAAAGAGAGCTTGCGTATGTGAACAGGAGAAATGAATTGGCAAAAGGATCAGAAGCCTTGGACAGCCGTATTTATCATCACTAAGAATCAGGGGATTGACAGATTGATACGTTTGTTGTTTCATCAGGAAAGAGCCAACTGGGAAGTGTGCAAGAAAAGCTGTTTTGACTTACCAAAAATGCTGTTGTTGGACACGACGACACGAGGAAAGAAAGTGGGAAAAGTTCTGGGCCAAGATGCGTGGGCTTTTATTCGCGCCATGGCAGAAAACGGCGGAAACTTAGGCGGTGAGTCAACGACCCCACACATTTTCGTTGAGCTCCACCCTCGCTGTAAGCCCGGAGCTTTTGGCGGGGCCTTCACCACTGGTTTCAGTGGGCTTCAGCGTTCCCGCCCAACACCTGGGCGCTAAGAGACAAAGTTCCTTTCAATGTGAGGGTCAGGAAGCTCACCTGGGCATGTGATGAGACCGTATGGGGACTAACAAACTTGGTTATTTGCAATAACAAGCCGTCAAACTTCCGAACGGGAGATGACTTTAGAAATCAAGTCCATCCTTCTTGGGAGCAGCTGAGGGCTTCTCCTGCTCATCCTCAAGCATAGGCGGGAGACTGTATGGCTTGATCACGACACCTCTGGATGCGCTCAAGCTGAATGACAAGTTCTCGCGGAAATTCCCCGACTCTGCTCCTCCACCGCCCTTCTCATGATACACAGGAAGCGTGTATACCTTGAACATGCCCTGAGGTTGCTCGTTTGCCTTGGGATCCGAGCCTAAAGGCGGCGGGGGCGCAGCACCGAGTCTGGCAGGCAGGGGGATGAGCTCGACGACGCCGTCACAAAGGATCTCTATCCACCGGACCAGTCCCGAACTGCGAGGGAACAGTGACGTCGGGAAGGTGATGATTGCTGTGAGCTGTGTGCTGTACTGTCGGAGAAGGGCCCGGAGCCCATGTAGAAACTGTAGAACCTCTGACGGCTGGGCGCATCCAGGAGGGTAAAGGGTTGGTGATAGAAGACTGGGCACCACCAGTCTATGGATGGCGTTTGGTCCTGAGCTCTCCAGCTTCGCCTTCAGTTGCTTCAGAATCGTCCTTAGAGACGAAACTGTCCCAACACTCCTCCGGTCTAGACTTGGTGCACCACCAACCGGAATCGGGTTTAGTGTACCCTTGGACTCGGAGCTTGCAAGCCTCTTGCTCAGATCGAAGGAGTGACAGAAAGGAGCTCCAGAATCCCCACGAGTAGAAGCTCCTGCATTGGCATTGTTGCCCAGAGACTCGTATCTCCACGCAATCTTCATCTTCTCTTCGGGCGCCGGAGCTGGTGATGCACTCTTTGACTTCTTGTCAGGGGAGGCCAACCCAGGAAGTTGATGCCTCCATTCCGGCGGGAAGGCTACTGCGTGGACCTGGTGCCCTTGGACGAGACCCTCAGCAGCATAGTACCGCAGAAGAATTCCAGAAAAATCGGTGGTTCCTTGCTCCTCAACCAGTAGGCATGTCCCCAGAGGAAGCCCACCGTGTCCTGCAAGAAGCTGGTCGAGAGAAGCAGTGCCAGTTGAAGTGGTCAGCCTGCCATCTGTTGGTGAAGGTCGAAGTCCTGGTGCAAGCTGCTTTTCCTGTTTCGGCTGTTGTTGTTGGGGAGTGGACGACGGCGTAAGTCCAGCTCTCGGTGAGGATAAGACGGTGTTTCTTTTGACAAAGGACATGGCTGATCCTGAAAGTTGCAGTCCTGATTTTGGGATCAAGTATCTCGTATCGAACGAATCTGATGTTGAGTTATTCTTCAAGTTCGAACAGTGTCAACTTGAACCCTGAAGAAATTGGAAGCTTGGACGTCACTGCAGTGCCTGAGAGCCCCGCTGTACTTTTGTCACACACAGGACGCGACAGGGATTCTCGATAGTGGCTGCCCCACTACTTGCCCCGGCATCCTGGTCCAATTGCCGCGAGGCTGGAATTTTTTGTGACGGCAACTGCATGGCGGCATCTCCATCGCGCAGTCGCATTTCCATCTGAAAGTTTCCCAAAACACCTTCAATACCATCCGCGACAACCCGTTTTCCGACCGATTGAAACGAGCTAGATTCTCGACAGAAGTTCACCTTCAACCTAGCATCTAATATCCCAACCTCTATCCATCGACAAACCAACACCAAGAATTCACAATGTCCGCCCTCACTTCCGACGCCCAGCTCTTCGAGGACGACTTCAAGGTCGAGAGGATCAGCGATCCCAAGTACGACCGCGTCGACCGTCTCTACTGCACCTCCACCGATGGCCAGACCAGCATGCAGCTCGACATCAACAAGGAGCTCTTCCCCGTCAAGGTCGGCGACTACCTCAGGATCGCATTGGCCACGTCTTTGTCCCTCGACGGCAGCAAGGACGACGAGAGAGGCTGGCGTGATGCTGCCAAGCTTGGCAGCGTTGAGCAGACCTTGGCCGATAGCTATGAGTATGTCTGCCACGGCAAGGTCTACAAGTTCGAGGACGGAAAGGACGGTCAGACCATGTAAGTTGTTGCCTGTGAACTGGGAGGGAGCATTTCGACCCGGGAGTTGAGGAAGAACGAATGGCTGACTGGTTTGGTTGCGAACTCTAGCAAGGCGTATATGTCCTACGGTGGTCTTTTGATGGCCCTCGACGGCCCCTACAAGAAGCTCACGCCCCTGCGTGTCGACTACGTCTACCTCCTCGCCACCAGGAACGCTTGAGAGCCGAGTTTCTTTCTTTCTGGAGATTAAAAAGCAAATGTTTTCAGCGGCTGAACAGCATTAGACCGATCAAAGAGTCTAGGGCGCGGGCAACTTTCAGTGGACCATTAGAGGGCGGGCGGGCGTTTAAGGTTATGCGTGGACCAAAAGAAAGCATCTGGGGACAAGGGCTCTTTGGAGAGTATAATGAATCAAACGATACCCGGAAGCACGAAGTACCTGTATCTATGCCGCTACCGAGCCAAGGGTGGTCCTTCTTCCTTTGAGACGGAGCTAGTGTTCCGCGGAAGGCGCTGGATGGATTCAGGCCTGATGAGGACCAGGAAAGGCGATATGTCGATGAGCCCGGTCGCGAAGTGCGTCGTAGTGCGGCTCGTTTTCCGGCGTGTAAATGCCGTGCCGAACAAAGAAATCGAGCATGACGATCGCACAGTTCGGCTTCCACAGTCCCTGGGCGAGCTGTTCCTGGATCTCCTCCACCGTGCGCAAGCTGAAGCTCTCGACCTCGCCGTCCTTGGGCTCGGGCACGACACTTCCGTCCGCAGGTAGCTCTAGATCATAAACCCACTGGCATTCCGGGTAAATCAACCCAGCTTCGCCTCCCGCTCGCTCGTCCGTGATGTAGATGTAAGTGATGGTGCAGACCTCTTTGGCGTTGTTCCTCACTACCTGCTCGGGCAGCGAAGCCTCTTCGTCCGCCTCGCGGATCACGCACTCGAAGGGGTCTTCGTTGGTCATCAAGCCGCCCGCTACTGCATTGTCCAGCATGCTTGGATAGGTCGACTTGGTCGGGGACCGCCTGGGAACCCAGATTCTAAAGTCGTATTTGCTGCTGGCGTCCTGTCGCCTGATGAAGGCGTTCATATGCACACCGTAGCGCGTGGTTCCAAAGAGACCCATAGCTGCCCGCTCCACGCTGAACACAAGCTCCTTGTTGCGACCGTAAACAGGCCACAGCTCATTCCGCCAGCTCTTGAGGATGGGAAAGGCCTTCTCTTCGCGCCAAAGCGCAGTAAGCTCTCCGACAATCTGAGTGCGTTCCTCATAAGTCTTATCCAGAGCGTCACGGAAGAGAACCACAGTCCGGTTGAAGACATCGATGTGCAACCCTAATTGCCCTTTGAGATTTGCCAGGGCTTTGTTGAGTGCATCGACGACGTCCAACTTCATGTAGCCTATGGGGACCTGGCCTTGTTTGTCTTCCCAGACGAATGTGTAGAAAGACTTCATGATCTGGTGATAGGCCTCGGGATCCCTGTCCGCGTAAGGGAAGCTTGATTCATAGAGATAGTGTAAGCGGTTGTTCAGGCCATGACCAAAATCTCGACAAGTCAAAGATTCGGATTCATTGACTTCCAGCTACGGTTCCATCCGTATCACAGAGCCTTTAGCTTCAGAGAGGAGCAAGTGCCAAGATACGTACGCATCGACTTTGGCCACCAAGTCGAGGGTGGACAACCGGGGAGCCATGGTGGAAGAAGAGTTTGGGGGTCTTGGAAATGGGCCGAATAACAACGAGATAAAGCGACGTGAATGATTTCCCGGCGGGACTTCGGAGTCCTGAAAGCTCTGTGAAGTGCGGCTTGAGAGGCAGAAGTCGGGTGTTGTCGAGAGGAAGAGAGCTCGGGGCGGCAGAAATCGGCGTGCGCTAATCTCGTGTCATTCATGAGCCCAATTGAGTTAGAGAGGGTCTTCAGCGAGGGGTGACGATGAACATTTTGAGGTCGAGACGGTATCAGGTTGCATGATTCAAAAAGTATCAATTTTATGTTTACAAACGCAGATCGATTGATCTCACATCGTTCTTCCTCCGAGGGCTCGGATGACGAGAATCAGGTTCCTAGGGGAGGAAGGGACGATGTACAAAAAGTCCTTGTTGTTCAAGGTTCAGGTGCCTTTTAGCGGGGAAGAGCTGTTAGTATCAAAGTGGCAGTTACAGCGGGCAGCTAACAGTCCTCATTGGAAATGGACGTACGTAACGCGTTGAGGACCTACCTTAGCCTCAAAGCCGGCTTTTCCATGCATGCCCGTCATTGTTTCCCAAGACGGAGATTATGTGGTGGAATCCAGGGCCCATCTGTCGAAGCTTCAACTTTTTCATGCCGAGGACTCTAGAATCATCTTCATGGTGGTTCCACGACCCAATGATTTCTCTTGTACTGCCCGCTGCCCAAGCTCGTCACAAGGAAGCACCGGAGAGGGGAGACCCACAGTACACAGCTTGATATCTCACCATCACATCAGCAGCTTCAATGACGGTGTTCAAAATAATATCTATAAAACAAGCCACTTCCAGAGAATTCGGGGTACATGTTAACTGCCAGCTTACCTAACGGAAGCCACTTTGGACTATTTCTACGGAAGAATGTCCAGATTCCGCGAAGCAAAGAGCACCTTGCTGCCAGCTCATTGTTTGACCCCACATATTACGGCATCATATGTAAACGATCCACGTCCGGAAGACAACTGAAGTTCGAGGACAAAGCGGGATCTTCGAGAAAACAATAAACGGAATCGGTCATTTGGGCTCGAGTCTAATCTTTTGTCTATATAGCTCATATACCACCAGCTCCACGTGCTACACCCACAGCTTTCACATTCGTGATCCCTCATCTTCAAATACAGGAGCTCACCCCGCGGCCTTGCGAGTACCTACATCGGAGTACCTCGGAGTACCTCGGAGTGCCTCAACGACACACCAAGTCTCTCATCCTATATATCGGAAGAAACCAACGGCCAACATCACCAACCATATATATATAAATACCGAACAAAAGCACTAGCCGTTCATCAGAAACCGTCATATCCGGAGTCAACAGGCAATCAACATCACTACCCAACTCATCCTCTAATCACACCACCACCCATTATCATCCAACTTAAACCTCAAAGACAACAACAACAATAACAACAACAACAACAACAACAATAACAACTACAACAATTACATCAATCATGTCCCAACCCCTCTTCGGCCTCGTCCCCGCCGGCCAACCAGCCATAATCTCCCCCACCGAAGCTCCCAATCCCACCTCATTCCTGTACGCCATCCCACCGACCAACCCCAATGGTCCCTCCAAGCCCTTCGGGCACGTCGTCGTCTTTCTTTTGCCGGGAGTAGTGTTGCCTCCGGGCACAGCAGCAGCGATCTACCTCGTCACCCCGCCCTCTGCCGCACTGGGGCAGACGGCGCCGAACTTCAAGTTCTTGGGAGGGATCGGCCCAGGGAAGGAGAGTGCTATTTTCAAAGTTGGGCCTGGATCCACAGGGGGAGGGGGAGCGAATGGGGCACCACAGGAAAATGTGGTGATTGGGGTCTCGGTTGAGGATGCGGAGAGTGTAGCTTCTAGGATGTCCTCTTCTCCAAACACAACTGGAGCAGGAGTAGGGGGGACGGGAGACTCGGGAGCGTTGGTACCGGCTTCGGCGGCGGCAGCCGCACGACAGCAGCAGCAGCAGCCAAGTACGTTGATTTTGGCGCAGAGGATCATCAAGAATGCGTTCAATTTCTTGTCGAGCTTTACCGGGTCGACGCCGGGCCAGATGGAGGTGGTGCCGCTTAAGGCGTTTGAGGAGTGGTGGAAGAAGTTTGAGAGTAGGGTGAGGACGGATCCGGGGTTTTTGGAGAAGGATGATGATCAATGAGCGATGAGATGAGAGCAAATTGGGGACAGAAGGACGGTTGGTCCAGAAGAGATGATAAGCGGTATGCATGCGTGACAACTGGAGCGGCTGGGTTGGTTTATGGGAAACATGGATGGCCTTATAAGGATATTGGGGAGAGAGCGTGCTTTCCTGGCTGGTTGATGGTCTCGATCTTCGGAGACATGAAGAAGAAGAAGTTCATCAGGATTTGTTGCATCTAGATGGCGACTACGTTGGAGAGTGAGGTGAAGGAGAACGTCGGACCAGCAAGGTAGTCGTATATATCCTGAAAGTTTCGCATATAAATATACCCAGAGCGAGAACAACAGACAAGCAGACAATGATACACAGAGAGATGTTAAAATATTTGTGAATGTGAATGAGGTATCTCGTTCCAGAAAGTGTAATAAACCCGTACTAGCTAGCTATTCGCGCGGAAAGAGAATGAAGAATAAAAATGCACTAAGAATGCCCATCGCTCCGATGGCTTCCAAAACAACCCGTATCGTCATCATCATACAAAAATCGTTAGACGACATGGCCGTTAACCTGCTAGAAGAACAATAATCCATCACCAAGAAAGTACCATGAACAGAGGTAAAGAGGTCGAAATGCAAAACCCATAACACATCCGCCAACGCCGCGTTCCATGGCAAATCGTTCAAACCAAGCCCAAAGCGATCGGTTTTCTGTTTACAACAAAACTTCGGAACACAAGGGTCCCGACACCTCAATCTTGCATAGGCGACATCATAGGACTTTTAAGCCTCGTGGGACTACCAGCCCGGCTCCTCCTCCCCTGTAGACTCATAGTCGTCGTTGTGGGCGTCAAACCCAACCGCTCTCGACTATCCGTTCTGACCACCAAGCCCGCCCTATCGAGCGCCGACCCGCCAGGCGTTGACAACCCATTGCCGCCGCCGAGATCAGCAAACCGGCTATCCACGTTAAGCTTGGGCGTTGCCAACCCTGACGTTACCCCGAGCTTGGACCGTCCCCCTCTTCTTGAGCTGCTGTCACTGGAGTCGGAGTAGAAGTCGTTGAGATCGTTGTTGTGGTCAAAGTAGGAGGATGCCGAGGAGTTGCGGAAGTGGGAATCGTTGAGCTCGAACTCATCGGCTCCGCCTTCCTCCAGAACACGCTCATAAGAGCCCGAAGAGGAGCGGCGGCCAAAAAGCTTGTTTTTCAGGCTGGAGAGGGGACCGCTACTATGGCTGGACGAGGACACCTTGCCGAAACGGCCGGAGCGGCGGGGCTTATGGAAGAAATTGCTGACACGGCCATAGAAGCGCATACGCCTGTCCTTCTTGCGGAAGAAGAACAGAAGGACAAGGAAGATGAGGAAAATGATGAGAAGACTGTGAGTCGCCTTGGCTTTTGTCTTGCCAAGGAGATTCTCGGCTTTCAGATCCCAATCATTGCCATCTTCTGTTCCATTGACGACCGGGTAATAAGGAGAGTCGTTGTGGCTGGCTCCGCCGCTCAGAGGTGTCCATGTTGAACCTGCGTACTGGAAATCGGGTGGCAGCGCCGTTGCCCCGGCAGAAGGGATATTGGTACCGAAACCGACAGGATATCTGTCATCACCGGTCTTGGGAGGTACTTGCCCTGCTGCGTAGAGAACCATCTTGCCAAGTGTCCAGCTGACTTCAATGCCATCGATCTTGTCCACAGGATGGAATGGGTCCAAGAAACCCTTTTGCTTGGCCTTCTCGATGGCGCCCTTCGAGGCATTGAGGCCCGGCTCAGGGAGCTCTTCGACCCCGATACGAGGAACACCAATACCCTCATGTAGGATATTGATGAGCCAGGAAGCTTTGAAACAGGCTTCTTGCGCATCCTTGACCGCAAACTTCTTCTTGTGAGTATCCGGGCTTGGTTCGATGCTGTTCCAGTCCCGGCTGCAGAAGTCCTTGACCCGCTTCTGGTAAGTGGTGAAATCGTATGCCTCGTCGTTTTTACCACCAAAGACACCATGTGTGGTGTGCCAATATTCGGAGACTCCAACGAAGTGGTTGACATCAAAGTCAATAGCCGGTACGTGCTGGCCATTGATCAAACAGGGGTCATCCGCACATGGTTTGTCCTTGCCGAGCAGGGGATAGGTCTTCTTGAGGCATTCGTCGAAAGCGCCTGTTCCAATTAGACTGGTCTCGCCCTTCTTCGGTTTCGAAACTGGAGTCCCGTCCAGTGACATCCTCAACCCCTTTGGTAGACACGGGTCGGGGAGTTCTCCGGCGTCGGAAGTTGTGTATAATTCTTTGAGACTTTGTACGTACGCCTCCCGCGCCCGATTGACGCCGAACCCTAGCCATGTCGTCGTGAACACTTTGTATTCGGCTGGCGATCCATCGAGTGTTCGTAGTCGCAAGAGCTTCAAATCGTTCGCATGCTTCTCAGCTTCGGTTGAATTAGGTGCAAATGCGATTTGCGCCGATGCGCCTCCCATGTCCAAGAACCCATATGTGTGATGACCCTTTCCATGCGCATGTTGATCCGGATAATCGAACCCTCCCAGAAGATAGTTGGACGCAATCCACCCGTACAATCCCTCGGTTTCGCCCGGAATAACCTGAATATGGAGGTCGCAATCCGGAAGTGAGAAATTCGTGTTCTTGCGCAGGTATGAGCAAACAGCGCCGGTTATCGCATTTTGTTGGACCTGGGGAAGAAGGCGCATGCCAGCCGTGGCCATTAAAAATATCGGGGTGTCGTGGACCTTGTCCGCGGGTATGATGTCGAGCGCATGGTCGATGAGTTCCTTCAGGTAATCTTCGCCGACTACCCCAGCCTTCTCGCCGAATGTAGATATTCCGGGTCTAATCTTCTTCGTCCACTTCTTTTTAGTCGTGATCTTGGGCAGACTGCCTAACTCCTCGGGCGTCGCATCCTTAAGCGCCTTCTCGGGATCCTTCCAACGGTATATGTGTAGTCGTGTCCCTGAAGACCCGGCGTCCAAGATAACACCCCATCGCCCTGCCATTGTTCAGTGTCGCGATCTTGGGGACCAGAGGGGTTGCGAGTGGGCATACAGTTCTTGTCTTTCCCCATCGGCAAGAGGTTAACAGTAGGCGATAGAGCTGGTAGGTATTAACTGAGACGAATGAAGTCGGACAAGGCACAGGTGTTTCGGTTCGGCGGGGTTCGTTCAAGTTATCGTCGACAATGGCGTAATAGGGGAATCAAGTCTAGTGTTGTATGGACGACCGTATCGGGACTATCGCAACAACAACCTGGAACTGTTGCAGAATCGCAGTGGAGACGGGACGAATTGATCGACGACAGGAAGGCTGGAAGGGGGAATTACCGGCCGCAGAACGAATGGACAGGCGCTATGCAGGAATTAAAAGTATACAATATGGTAGGTGGGCAGCCGGGACCGTCGGAAAAAGCGAGAGTAAGGTGGTTTTGGGAAACGTGAAATGACCAGGTGCGAAGCGAGAGAAAACTAGCCCGAAAGCTGAGTGAGGTGAGATTCTGGAGGATGACGGGAAAGATTGTCGTGTTCCAATTCCTGGGAGGACAATGTGGGCCGGAATGGAATGTCTGGGGTGTTTTTGGAGGGACCGTGGGGGTCTGATAAGGAGAAGTTCAGGGGAAAGAGGGGACCACGCCGGGGGGCGTCGCTGAACGCGGCACTGTGCACTCGTATCGTGGTGGTACCACGCCCGCCTTCGGACGACTTTCCTTGGTGGCGTTCGTAATGCTGAAACTTACGGACCGGAGCGCCGGTAATAACACAACGTTACTATACCTTTCTTCAGACAAGCCGGTCATATGTTACATATGTTGCCAACTTGCAGTCCCTTCAGACATTGTGGTAAAGATCCACTAGGCACGGAAAGAAAACAGATACAATGGTGCGTTCAGGTGCATTGTATATGTATCTCAATAGTCGAAACTGCGGTTCATGATCAGCCAAACATTTGGCCATGTCTACCATGCTCTACCTGCTTTGAGCATGACATGCTGCCATGAAAGAAACGATAAGTACGCGTAATCTCCCCGCATCCTGTTTCCATTTTCAGAAACAGACGATCATTGAGGCGAAGAACGTGGAAGGCTCTCATACCCCGCGGTTTGTGGTGTTTCGGCAGTCATCCTCAGAGGGTACCTCTGCCTATCAATCACAACTCTCTTTGGACGTCATTCGTCCAATACATTGCGATCCTCCAGCTGAGTTTCAGCATAGGAGCGCTCGCTCAACCTGTCAAACCGTGACAGGCATCTCGAAACTGCTCCCCGCCGGAACATGACGATCCCATTGTGAATTGTCGCAGCCAGCCGCCGACCCTCTAAACGCAGTTCTGTTGGGGTTGAAAAGTCCGGCTATTGATCGGTGCCCTCCATCACTTGTACCTGACGTATGGGGCTATTGGGAAGTACGGGGTGGCTGGTAGTTCGACCCCTCGCATCAGAAGCCGGTCTTCGAGTCCATAAATCGGACAAGATGGTAGAGATGCTCTGAGCACATGAACCGTCAGACCGCAAACCCCATGAGCCTCTCCCATACATCGGTTTTGTTGATGGACTTACAGCTTTGAATACGAGCATTTCCCATTCGCGTGTAGCTAAAAATACATTGCCACGTCGAGCTCATGATCACCCGACGGTCTCGTTCAGGCAATCCACAAGCACTCGGTTGGCGCTCTTGGAAGCCTGAATGCCCTTTTCAACCAGCTGCGAGTAGAGGTCCATATCAGACGCAGGTAGGTCGCCCTTAAACCAAAAGTTCGTGACCTCTTGTCGTGTAGGGAGATATGCGATGCAGCATGCTGCGAGGACCTTCTCATGCTCAGAAGGAATCGGGTCAACGACAATGCTGGGAGCGGCATCGTCACATGCATCCTGTACCAACGCGGCAACACCTCCGGCAACAGTATCGACGCAGTCAATGCCAGCATCAGCCAGTGCAGCCGAGGCAACGGTAATGCAGCCACTCAAGGCATTCATGGTGTCCCATGCCTCAATGCCTTGGGCCTTTGACGTCTCCCGATCTTGCTCTCCTTCGACGATGGAGATGATGATATCCACACCACTCTTTGGCCAACGGTCCGCAATGATAGATCCGCGAAGAGCCGCCTCAAGATGGGTGCCGAGATCTCTCTCGATCGGGTCACGAATGTAACCACGCCTTTGCTTGGTCGCAAAGGGCGCGAACTTGACATGGGTGGACAAGATGATGTGAGGAGAAAAAGGTGTTGACCTGGGCAATGCTCTGGGTCCATGGACACTGCAACTGAGCTTCAGACCAGAGCCGCCATTGCCGGACGATTCAATCTCTAGGTAAGCAGAGCCAGAGGCCGAAGGTGTCACTCCCGTCTTGAGATCTAAAGGCGAGGTTAGACTGGGTTCCTAAGAAAGAGCGTTTCCTCAATGCGCTTACACATTTTGCGAATTACATTCGCCGGGCGTGACCTTGTGGCCCTGGCAACTTCGGATTTCTTCTCGGGAGCATCGTCATAGATGGGAGGGATGGTGGTCCCAACCGGTCCGTTGATACGTCTTCTGTCGGCCATGTTGGAGGCAATATTTGAGGGCCGCAAATATGTTGAACTTTGTGAGTTGCTGTGATGTTTGTGACGCTCATCCAATCGGAGACTCCTGAATTTCGTGAGAAAAGGGACCTGGTTCGTGTATGGGTTTCCTTGTTCACAGTCGTTGATGACTTCAGTTGGTTCCTCTGTGGAAAATGAGACCTGAGAGTCGCCGTCTACAGTGGATCCACTTTCAAATTCAAGATGTTGTGGCGCAACCTCAGATTCACTGTCGCTCTTGACCACCCAGCCACAGGCCCCACCCAAAACCCGCGCAAAAGCCACCAATGCTCGAATTTTTTGCGCAGCTACAAAACTCTGCCGCGCTTCGTTTCAACCTCATCTTGAACTCTTCCACCAACCCACACCACCCACAACGACAGGAACGGCTTGCGATTGCTGGTATTGGATCAATGCCTTCACTTCACATGGCCACTGTTCTTTGGAAGTAACCATGATACCATTTCTTGCGATGCTCATGGTTGCTTTGGTTGGGCTGCCTTTTGCGGTGGTTCAGCAATTGGCATGGCCATGTCAACTGCTTCGACGTCCTCTTGGTTATTGCGCGATGGCGAACCCCATTGCTTGAGAGGACGTCCTGGCTGTCTGATATGGCCTCGCTGGTTCACGCGTACAGAGTAAGTTTGTTCCCTCCTGCCTTCCACATCTCATGATGATCCCATAACCACAGTTCTCGCGATATTCTATGAGCGATCGAACAACATGCACTACCATCTGACCATTTACTCAATACATTCTTCACTTGCATTACATTTGGAAGAATCGTTGACTAACAATCAATAGTATAGGCAAAGTTGTCTTGTCATTGTCACCTTTCCACCTCATTTTCTCGGTCTCTACCCACTAGGTAAGCATAGCATCTCACCGCTTTTCACCTTCACCATCACCTTCCCGATTGTCCATGATGAAACAAAATATTTCAGTTCTGCTTCTGAATAATAATGAGCGATAAACAATTATACCAAAAACTTCTGATATGACAATCACCCCCCATCTTGCAACCACAACTCTTCCACACTCGTTGCGAGCAAGTTGGCTAACAAACTCAAAGTCGTCCAGGATCTGAAAAAGGCCTTGCGTCTAGTGGGAGAGTCGACATGCCCATCTGGTAGGTACTTTGTCTATTTTCTTTCCCATGCACAATGATGACAACAGTCTATCCATTCAACGATATGTACGGGCCGAGCCATCCATCCGCACTGGAGCGTTCTTCGGAACGTGAGGACTAGTTGTGGTGTCTCCCTTCGGGGTGTCATTTGGCTTCCGTTGTCCGAGGCTCCTGCGCACCGTTTTGGGGTGTGGGAGACTTGGGCCGGCTTTGTAGGGCTGAGTTAAAACGGCTTTTCTGATCTGTGTCGTATTCGCCTTCTGCTTGATGCCGATTCGCGTATGACCATGAACTGACCGGTCAGTAGTTGATGGCGCGAACATTCCAAACGTTCAGTTGGAACGCATCTTGGACGAGGTAAGGTTTGTGTTCATGATTCGACATCTCTTGATGACCCCAGTAAAATTGGATGTAGTGGAGGATCGCGGTGTGCCTGTCCCTGAGATTTGCATCAAGGCCTTGGGAAGTTGGAAGCATGATAGAAAAATGAAAAGAAAGTTGCCAAATTTTTGATCGTTTCAAGTCGTACCAAAGGCATTGCCCATGATATGTCGTGCAGTGAAGTCCATGTTCTGAAGAATGATGTCCAGTTGCTCGCGATGAAAGCCCAAGTCCCCCAAATCATCTGGAGCTGTCGTGAAAATAACATCGGCAGAGGCACCTCGAGATATTTGTATTTTACAGAAATGACGACGGCAGTACAGACTCAACGGTAATTCCATTGCCACTGTTTCAGATTGACTTTGCCAGCAATTCTGGGGTCTTGGCGACTCTAAATCTTGTAGAACTCCTGAAACCAAGGCGCCTGAGTCTGGGGTCAATTTTGGGTGGGTGCAGTTGCGGTACAAATGGCAGGACCTGACCCCGTCGAACGGCCGGGCCATTTGCGACGCCATTGGTAAAGAAATCCCACCCGCCAATCTTACCTGGACTGGTACTTAGTACGTGTATCCGTCAAGCTGCCCACAGCCCGGTGCGAACACCTCAGCTTTTATCAAACGTCTCGGTGCTACGGGAACGCGATCGTCTTGATCTTCCGCCCAACTTCTCTCTGACCACGATGCATTGATCCTGAATCGGCCTGGTCTCCTCCTCATCTATTTCGACAGAGTTCCGACAGCGCGTGCGTCGACGATATCCAGCGAGCGACCGACTAGTCTGCAGCACCCGTTAGCCTTTCCGGTTTAGTTACAGGACTCAGGTACCCTGCGCGCGCAAAGGGGTTGAGGTGCTCGATAATATTGGCCGCCCCTGCAGCGACCGACTTCTATCACCAAACAGCCAAATGCTGCCATACGCATCATCCTCCGGGTCCAA